CTTGCCCCAAGTGCAGAGGGCTTGCTGAAAGGGAGTGCGGGATGTCCCTGGCAGGCGGAAGGGGTGAGGCCCCAAGGAGGGAGGCTCCAGGCACAGACCCACAGCACTGCTGCGAGTTGCCTTTGCCCCAGAAAGGACCAGCAGCTTTCTCTCCTGCTGCAGAAGCTGGCAGGGAATTTCCTGGAGGCCATTGTGATATTTTAGATTGTGCCCCCGGGGCCTTCTTGGACCTCTTGGGACAATGGGGAGCAGCCACCTGCACACAATGATAGCACTGTTGCTGTTGTTAATCAAAATCGAAAGCCTGTAGTCTTATGGGTGACTGAATTATCCAAAATATGTCTTCAAAAGTTCCGCCGGACTCAGCCCCCCATGGAGGCTGTGGAAGGAAATGCTGAGAACCAAGGGCCCCACCCAGAAGTCGGGGTGCCTGGAAAGTCCGCCCCCAAAGTGCACTTAATTCCTAGAGATTCTCGGGGAGGAAAAGCCTCTTTGAAAGCCAGGGAGCCTTGTGGTTGCGAGCACGTGGCCTCCAGTTGTTCCTCACCATGCACTGCCCTTCCAAGGCGGACGGGCCACACCCAAGGCTGGAATTAGCCAGGCATCTTTTAAATGTTTTGAGTTCAGCAAAATCCCACATCTATTTGCCAGATTATTTTTTGTTTAATTATTAAATCCTGGTGTTTTCCAAAGGGTTGTGATCCTGCGTGTGATACATCTCTGGTGACCTCCCAAGAGCCTTCCCTCGGCCCCCTCCCCACTCACCCCCTGTAAACAGGAAGCTGACTTTCGCCTGTGCTGAGGGAACTTGAAGGCAATGAGCCCCCAGCCAAGCCTGCAATTCGGAACCCTGGAATTTCAAGAGGGCTCTCAAGGTGTCCAAACATCCTCTTTCCTGCTGTTGTGAGCAATCTCCAGGCAGGGTGACAGCTGGAAGGGAAAACCCGGAGGGTCAGCAGACCTGGAAGGTTGCTCATGGGGGCAGATGGGCACCAGGTCGTGGGAGGTCCAGAGGGTCATGCCGGCTTCCAGGGACAGGTGCATGGGATGATCTGGATCTGGGATCCTTGCAACATTTGGAGCAGGGATCCTGATCTGAGGTTGTGACCTGTGCAAATGCTAACTGTGATCCCAGTGGCTTTCTGCTTGAGGCCTGAGCAGGTTCCCAGGGTCTGCTTCTACCTCCCTGGGGCCTGGAGGCTCAGCCTTCCTTGAGGGCCACCAGGCATCAGGAGACCTGGCTCCTGGTGGACCCCATCTTGGCTTACTTTGCCTCCTGGGCCTCTGTTTCCTCCTTGTACTGAGATGATCTCTAAGTGCAGTCAGATGTGATTGCTCTGTGAATCTAGAAGGAGGCAGCTCTGGTCCAAGTTGAGAACTGGCAGTCTGCCTTTCCTGTCACTAGTTATGTGGTACCCTGACTCACAGGCCAGAAACCAAGGCCCTGAAAAATGCTTTGAGGAGATGGGAAGTTCTCAAAAGGACCCTCAACTCCTCACTGGAAGATGCCTTTTTCCTGTCCAACCGGAAGGACGTGACAGGGTAAGAATCTGAGTGGATCCCCCAGGGACTTAGGGGTGCAGAAGCAAGGCAGACTTTGGCCTGGTAGGTCCCCCTCTGGCCACTATGTCCCAGTGTTTGGTCTGCAGCAACCCCTGAAGTTCTTCTTCCCTTGGAAGTCACAGCTGGGGTCTCTGTGGCAGCCCTCAGTGGGTGGGAGTGGCACAGAAAGGGTTTCCAAGACTCCGACCCTTTGCCGAGCCTTCTGGGGCTATAGCAGGCTGTCCTGGGAATGTGGTGGCACTGGCATGGACAGCTCATCGTGGATCATGACAGTGTGGTGAGTGTGTGTGCTGGGATGTGGGGTGAGGGAAGATAGGGGGCCAGTAGAGGGGACAAAGACACCCTTCCAGTGTCTGCACAGCCCCGCATCACAGCAGTGGCATCTTTCCTACTCGTAAGCCAAATGGGCTGCCAGGAGCCCGCTTGGGTCATTCTGAGGGACAGCCTATGGGAATGGGAGAAGCCTCCTGTGCCTAAGGACTGTTCCTGGGGTGCTCTGCCCCTAGGAAATTCCCATGGAGCTGCTGCCCAGGGAGCTGGCCTTGGGCGACAGGATCTTCCTGCCAGGCTGGTGCCAGAGGGAGTCCTGCCACACTCCCTCTGTGGCCCAAGCTGGAGCAGTGCTGGGTGATGGGCTCTCCCCAGGCCTTTGTCCTTTCCAGGTGAGGGCCTGGGTTCCAGGAGGGGCACTGGGTCCTTGGAAGGGGAGGAAGATGAAGGTGGGAATGAGATGTAACGGGCCTCCCAAACTCACAAAGGGCCTCTCTTTCCTGCCAATTCTTTGCTGTTTTTTTCTCTGACATGGGGCTGGTGGGGAGAGGCCAGGGAAGGGTTACATCACTCTTAGTTCCTCCTCTGAGAGTCCGGTCAGGGGACACTCAGTGGAGACTTCTTCCCTTCTGGGACAGGGAAGTTTGTCCAGGGAGGGAGGGGCCTCAGTGTGTGTGTGTGTGTGTGTGTGTGTGTGTGTGTGTGTGTGTGTGTGTGGTGCGTTGAGCAGTTGGTCCACGCTTTGGGAGAAAGCTTTGCAAATCTGTAAGCTGAATATTTTCAATGGATGATGCATTCATGTAGTCTGTGGCACATGTCTGGCCTCCCAACTACACAGGAGGCTGAGGCAGGAGGATTGCTTGAGCCCAGGGATTCTAGGCCAGCGTGGGTGGCATGGCAAGACCTGGTCTTTTAAGAGAAAGAAATCTAACAGTAGAAGTGAAGCCACAGCCCCTACTCATTCTCCCTCACCACCATCTGTCCTTTATCCTTCCTGGCAGATGCTCTGTCACAGTTGGGCACGGTGCCTTTTAAACGCTGTTTTAATGCCTTTTAAATTTAAGGCGTCCTTGAGCTTCAAGACCGCTGGGCCTGCAGCTGTTGTGAGGATGGATTCTGGTGTGTGTGGGGTTGTGCATTCCTGGGCAGCAGGTGCCTGAGGCCAAGGGTCCTCTCTTCTTCCCACTGAGGCTGTTCCAAGAGCCACCTCTGGGGCTCTGGCTTCAGTCGCCCCCACCACTGCTCTCTTCAGGGGACCTGTGAGTCAGGGTCAGCAGTCCCTGCTGCTATTCTGGTTTCTGGTGAAAGTGAAAGTCCAGGACTTGGTCACCGCAGGCTTGGAACCACTGTGTGCTGACCCGTGCCTCAGTCCCTGAGCCTCGCCCATGGGCAGGAATTTTGGTGCCTCGGAATTTCCTGTTTGACAATGTGCCCTAACAGATCCACCTCCTCCACCCAAGCTCTCCCTGGGTTATTCTTTTTCCCAGAGACCGGGCCGAGTGTGTTTTGCAGGGATCTTTCTAACACCATTCCTGCCCTTCCCCTTCCTGTTGGCTCTGATTCCTAGGAGAAAGATTCCTTGCTTCGTTTAAGAAAGCAAACATTTAATCCTTTATTCCTCCCTTCCTCTTCTCTCTCCCTCCTTTGCTTCCCTTCCCTTCCTCCCAACCTGCACAGAGTGGCCCCATCCACTGGGTGCTTGAGAGAAGTAGTGATGATTCACTCTTCCTGGGGGAGGGCCCTGGAGCAGAGGGGTGGCTGTGTTCACTGTCTGCGACAGGGACAGATACAGGAAAGGCCTTCCACCCAGGACCCTGAGCAATGGTGAGATGAAGGAGACCAGCCTGGGCGATTTGGGGACGAACTCTAGTGAGGAGGAGTTGGGCAAGTCGTGAAAAGTAACAAAGGATTTGGGGACACAGTCGGGTGCAGCCTTGGTGTCACAGCTCACAGCCTTCTGGGAAGTCCTACCGCTTTTTCCTGCTTTAGAGCCAAGGAAGCTGGAGCTAACAGTGGTGGCTCAGTCACTGGCGCCAGTATGGTTCCCCGACGATGGCTGGGACGTGAGTTGGGGTCCCCCAGCCCCAGCAGGGCTCCTTTTCTGGCTGTGCTTTCACCAAACTTGACACTCGAGAGCCACAAGGTCAAAGCCCGGCACTGGTGTTGAACCCAAGCAGGGCCATGTTGAGATTTGGACCATGAAAGGAAGACATTTTGGTGGCCTCAGAGATGAAACCAGGGACTAGGACATGGTGTGATTTCTCTGGAGGAATAAAGGAGGAAAGAACAGGAGAGGTGCAGGTCTACACCCCCCGATATCAACTCCAGAAGAATCTGGTGGGGTGGGGGCTCTGGAGCCAGGGACCAGCCAGACAGCGGAGGTCCCTGCAAGGCTGACCTCTGACTGGATGGGTAACCCCTCCCCCTGCCCCACCTTTCCCGGCTCCACTCAGAATATTCTGGAATTAGTCACCGAATGGCTGCCAGGTACTGGGCCAGGGCCTCCTGCTCTAGAGCCTTGGGGGACTTTAGCACTCCACCTCACCTCCACCTGTCTCTGCACAGCCACCTGAGGTTCAGACCCAGCACCCTCAGACCATCTCAATTTTGTCTTTAGTGATTTGTAGTGTTCAAAGGGGAAATGTGTGACTTTTGGGTTACAGGGGCTCTCATGATGCGTCCCCCAGAGACTCATGTACTGAAGGCTTGATCCCCAGCTGGGCCTGCAAAGGTGACTAGATCGGTGAATCCACTGACGAGTTCCCAATGAATGTGCTGTCAGCAGGGTGGCCCAGGGGAGGAAGAGTCACTGGGGGTGTGACCTGGGAGGATACATTCTAGTCCCTCTCTCTGTGCTTCTCAGTTGCCATGAGGTGAGCAACTTTCTTCCACCACCATGTTTTTGTCTTGGAGTCAGCTGACCATGAAGGAAATCCTCTGAGACTGTGAGCCAAAATAACCTTTTTCTCCTTTAAGTTCAGCATGTTGATATTTTGTCCCAGCAACAGAAACGTGACACCAGTCATCCCTCATTTAATGACTGAGTCCAGTTCTTTCTCCTAGGTTGTTAATCAACCTGGTCCCTAAATGAGGAATCATATATAGTATGTACAATATTCCGTACAAAGAAATGAAGGTCAAAGGAAGCTCCAACTTGATGACTTTGCTTTTATTTGCACAACTCTTACATGCACAGAACATACGGCCATAGTAGTGTACTGTGTGATCAGCAAGAATTACGGCCTTGTATAAACAGGGTTCACTGCACAAAAGAAAAGAGACATTGACGTTGTCTTTACAGAAAAAAGATGATTGTTAATTCCAAACAGTGTGCTTCTCTCCTAAGTCTGAAAATTTGTTAAACAGATAGGTCTTTTTTTTGTTTTGTTTTTTTGAGACAGGGTCTCACTATGTAGTTGGACTGACCTGGAACTTACTGTAGTCCAGGCTGGTCTCGAACTCACAGTGATCCTCCTGCCTCAGCCTCCCGAGTGCTGGGATTACAGGCATGCACCACCACACCCGGCTAGCAGATAGGTCTGTAACACAGTGGCCTTGGGACTGAGGAGCCAGGTGTGTTCCTTGGCTGTGGAGTGTTTTGGAACTGGGGTGAGGTGGGACCTGCTCTAGTGTCTTCGACTGGCGATGCTGTGGCTCTGTCAGACCCCAGTTTCCCCCAAGCTGCCAGTTACATTCCAGAAGAGCCACCCCGACACATCATGCTGCCCCTCACAGGTGCACTTTGGAGCCAGTCTGAGGTCCAGCCTGGCTGTCAGCGGCTTCTGTGTCAGCCCCACACTCTTCTCGCATGTGTCGCCTCTGCTATGACCTGGAGCCCAGGCTCCCGGCCCCGGCCCCTGCTGGCTGGTGGGACTCCTCCTCCTGCTTGGCCCCCACCCAGCTCCTGGCTCCCTCTGCCACATCTCCGTCATGCACGGACTTTCAGCAGCTCCCCAACATGGTAGCGTCTGGCCTTGTGCAACTCGGAAGGTTTCAGACAAGGGGGAACTTCTTTTTCTGTACACCATCAGCACCCCTAGTGCCCCACAAGCCCGCATTCCTAGGCCAGCTACTTGGGGCAGCTTTTTAAACATTAAAACCATCCTTCCCAGTGTGGAAGCAATCCACACTCCCTCTAGATGAGAGAGTATAAGGAAAAGCAAGTCACAATTACCCACTCCCATGACCTTCCAATGACCCCTGCCCAGGGGCAGTTGATTTTTTTTTTTTGGTGTTTTTCCTGTGTTACATCTGCGTATAATTATATAACCGTACACATGATGGTATCTTAATTTGACTGACATTATGGTAACCAGCATTACTGCCACATAGAAACGCTTTAAAACAACATGGTGGCCCACGATGTTTTACGGTACTTTTTTTTTTTTTTTTGAGACGGGCTCTCACTGTGTAGTTCAGGCTGGGTATGAACTCACTGTGTATCCCAGGTGGGCCTGGAAGTTGCTGTAATCCTCCTGCCTCAGCCTCCCAAGTGTTGGGATTACAGGGGTGCAGCACCACACCTAGTTATGATATGTGTTTAAATGAGTGAATGAACACCAGAAGGCTGAGAGTGGATGGGCTGGGGTCTGCTGACATCACACTCTAGGAACTGCCCTAGGAAGAGCGAGGATGCAGCAGATACGGCATTAGGAATCACCCTTTCATTCACCCTGTATGTTCTGCTAACCTTGAGGGGCTGGTGCTCAGCTAGGCAGAGCATCAGCCTCCCCAGCATCCTTCTCATCATCTCCCTGGTGTTGGCCAAGGCCAGGAGAAGCCTCTTCCCAGAGATGAGCCTGGACCAGGAGGCGGGAGGAAGGTCCCACCTAAGGAGGTCTCTGGCGTGGCCTCCAGGAGCCAGCGTGGTGCCATTCCCGCTGAGGGCAGTTTTCCTGGTGTGTAGATGGCCACCTTCTCTCTGTGTCCTTGCATGGCGGGCATGAGGGAAAGAGACAGTCTCTGTAACTCTTCTTAACAGCGTGCTGACTGTGGGTCCCACCCTCAGGTTCTCATCTAACCCTAATCACCTCCAAATACCATCATATAGGGGAATAGGACACCACCATGTAAACACCAGGCCCTGAGACTCAGTCCATAGCAGGGACGGAAAGGTTCACACCTAGCTTCTGAAGACTCTGATGGCTGTGGTGGACCTTGGCCTCCTCACCTGTCAGGGAAGGACTGGGAGGGTCTAGGAGGAAGGGCCTAGGGACCCAGTGGCTGTGGTATGAGGGAACCTGAGTCTGGATCGAGGAGGTGATTCTGGAAGGACCAAGAGACAAGGGGTTTTGGGGAGCTGGAGCCCCCAGAGGCTAATACTGGGGCGCTCAGAGCTGGGGAGCTCCGGATCCCACGGAAGGGTGATGAAGGGCCGTGTGATGTCACAAAGAGATTCACTGAACACCAGGAACTGTCACACAACTTATTCTCACAACTGCTGCAGCCTCAACACAGAGAAATGATGATCATGGCTTGAAAGTCACTCTTTTGAGAGTTTCCTTTTCAGTTTTTATTTTCAAGTCATTTAATTAATTCTTGTGTAATGCTGAGACAAAGCAGTCACACCAGATCTGTGGCTGCACCTCATCGATCTTCATTTCAAAGAACGCGATGATTATTTCTCATTCTATGTTATTGCTTTATTCTTTATTGTAGTAGAAGGTCACCATCCCAACCACGATGGTGCACCTCAGTGCATAGCTCGGGGTGCTAAGCACATTCACCCTGTTGTGCAGCCACCCCCACATCCATCTCCAGAACTTCCTCATCTCCCCAAACTGAAGCTCTGTCCCCACTAAACAGGGAGTCCCATCCCGTGCCCAGCACTAACACCCCCATCCTGCTTCCTGGCTCTGTGGGTCTGATGACTGGGAAGACTGTACGAGTGGAACCATGCCCTGCGTGTCCTTTTGTGACTGGCTTGTTTGAGCCCGTGTCCTCTAGAGGTACCCCTATTGTAGCCAGAGTCATCTTTCAAAGAAATCTACGATCTGCCCAGGTAACAGTTGTAAAGGGAATTGGGGGCCTGGAGCCCTCCCACTTCCCCACCCCCAGGGCAGAAGCCCAGGCCTCCAGGAAGCAGCTGGAGATCCTGTTAGATTAGACTCTAGGAGGGGTCCCGGCCAGCCAGCCAGCATACAGGGGGCAGAACAGAGCCCACAGCCAGCTGGGTGCTCCCCAAGGGTAACCTGAGCAGCTCTGATAAGACTCCACAAAGCCAGGCTGGTGGCTGAAACAGAGTGGCATGTCCTGTGGGTCAGGTCACTGACAACTTGTGTCTCAACACGGGGGCCAGGGTGGTGGCCCCAGGTCCCATGGGAATGTGACTCAGTCCCAGAAAGGCCCCGTGAGAAGGGGATTTGTTCCCTCCAGCAGAGCAGGGCGAAGATTAGGGTTAGGGCTTCTTGATCTCATTCTCACATAGGACCGAATGGGGGTCCACAGGCAAAGAGGCAGACACCACCGCCCAGGTGTGACCCAGAGGCAGAGATGGAATGGGCCCCCTTGGATGCATGCAGCCAGGAAGCCTGGGGGCCACAGGTCGGCCACTGTCCTGTTGACATCATGCCTGGAGTGCTGCAGTTGTCCTCTGGGATGACCCAATATGGGTACATTATTATCAACTAACATCTACAGCTTCCCTTCAGGCCTTGCTTGGGGTTGTACAGTTTCATGGCCTTTGCCAAATGTGGAGTGTCCTGTGTCCACCATCACGGTGACATGCAGAATAGTGTCCCTGCCCTAGAGCTCCTCTGTGCTCCGCCTGCTCATCGGCCCCTCTTCCAGCCCCTGACGACCACTGATGTCTTTCCTGCCTCCGTAGTTGTGCCGTTTCCAGAGTGCTGCGCAGGTGGGCTCGTGAAGGATGTGGCCCTGCAGACTGGTGCCTTCCCCTTAGCCACAGTCACAGAAGGCCCCTCCATTCTTTGTCCTCACAGAGTGATGCTCCGTCACCTGCGGCTCCACTCACCTGCTGAAGGGCCCGGGGGGCTCCGCATCCTGCTGATCATGCATCAGGCCCTGCGAACACCCTTGTGCAGGTATCTGCTAGGATGTAAGCTTTCAGCTCCTTTGGGTAAATAGCAAGGAATGAAACGTGATTGTGGGGTCGGATACTATTACTGCACGGCGAGACTGTTAAACTTTGTGAGAAAGTGTTTATTTTCTAAAGTGAAAAATAAAGAATTTAAGCTAGGAAAAGGGCTTACCTCTTAAGTCCCAGGGATGAGCTTGTACTGTCTGCTTTCAGCAGCTTGGCTGTCAGAGCCTCACCTGCTTCCCAAAGAAGCTGCCTGAAATGGCCCGAAATGGCGTGAACCAGGAAGGCACCTGGTGCTTCTGAAAACAGCCAGCTTCTCTGAGGCTCCTCCGAATTTTGGGTCTTAGACCCAGTCCCACCAAGCCCTCCTTCCGGGGTACATTACTCCCCTCCCCAGGAGCCATCCAGGCACATTCTGCTCAGGGACCTTTCCTTTTCTGTCCCAGGGTGGCCTTTGGAACTCAGAGGAGGCACTGGCCACAGCCCCAGGCTTGGTCTGGGCTCCTCCCAGGCTGCTCTGAGATAAGGACTGGGAGCGGCTAGTTTACTGGGGAGGAGATTCCAGGAAGCAGGCAGTGTGCACTTGGATGAGGGCGGGTTGGTGGGAACTGTGTGGGCTCCGTTCCAGGGGGGCACCCAGGGCTCTGGGGAGCCGAATAGACACATTTCAGACTTGTCCCTTGAAAGCAAGAAGGCTGGAAACCAGAATCCTCACTCACAGGCTCCTTTGCTGGCCCAAGGGGGACAACTCTAGGGTCCTGGGCAAGGGACTCTGAGCCAGAGAAGTCCCAGAAGAGGAAGAGGTGTCTTCTTTCTTCCCTCCTTCTGGGAGGGGCCACCTGCCTCCTACCCACCCTCCTGCTTTGACCTTGGGCCATGACTTTGCTTTCCGCTCTGGGTTTATCTACCCATCCAGGGTGTCCCCTACTCCTGACGAGTTCTGGCCCTGCATTTGCTGTCACTCCCCACCATGTCACTCTTGTCCCAATCATGTAATATCCCCGGGGGAGTCCTGGGCCCCCAGAACACTCCCCTGTTCTCTTGCCACCTGGCCTTCTCTTTGACCGTGCATTCAGTATTGCCTCTCACACACCAGCACCCAAAGCCTTCACCTCCAGTACCTCCAGCCCCCGTGGTCACCACTCCGGCCTCTCACCTCTGCCCCGGTGTCCCTTGGTGCCGCTCGGAACCTTCTCCGCTTCTTCCTGCTGCACTTGGTGTGGCTGAGGCTGCAGCAGCATAGCCAGCCTGACCATCTCTCTGCAGGTCCCTGCCATCATCCAGCTGGCCACACCCTGTCTGTCACCAAGTGTCAGATTTCCACCTCCTCTACTCTCAGTGACCCTCCAGGCCATCCTTTCTGCCTCATTGGTCCCCAAGTGCAGCATGAAGCCTCCCACAAGCCCTCACTTCAGTGCCCTACCCTGGTCCCCGCAGCTCAGCTCTACCTGGCGGTTCCCATGGCTGTAAACGTGCCGGCACCTCAAAATCACAAGTGAAAGCTGGCTGTGACAGCGCATGCCTGTAATCCCAGCACTCAGGAGGCTAAGGCAGGAAGGTTGCTGTGAGTTCAAGGCCAGTCTGAACTGGATAGTGAGACCCTATCTCTGAATCAACCAACCAACCAACCAACACAAGTGAGACCTCCCTGCACCCCGCTTCCCCTCTGGCCGCTACGCCATCTCTGTTCCCTGAGCAGCCAAACTGTAAGTAGTATCGGCATCCTTGCCACCCCAGCGTCTGTGCCCTCCTTCCAGCTGTGGTGAGCTACCTGTGCCCTGCCCTCCCCTCCCAGTGGCCCCTCAGTCACCTTCCTCCTCCCATGCCCTTGGCTTCTACCCACCTGCCAGCCTTTGTTTCAGGTCCCTCCCCGAACCACGTATGGAGCCTTCCAGCCCCTTCCCTTCTTCCAGCATGCTTGCTCCCGTGTTATCCGCACCCGCTGTCCAAGGAGGGCTCAGCCTCCCCTCCTCTGCCCTGGACTCCAGACACAGAGATCTTTCCACCTACCTGACATCCCTGGGCAGCTGAGTGACAGGTCTCCAATGTCAGTGTCCGGCCCCGCACAGGATCCCTGCCCTCGGACCACCTGGTCTCCCACCTCCTCAGCTGACCTCACGGCACCCCCTTGGCCACCTCTGGCTCTGGGCTGGGGATGTCCTGGACCCCTCTTTCCTGCAGCCATTTCCATCCATGTGGGGCTCCTGCCAGCTCTGCCTTCATGAGACCACAGTCTGGCCTTGTTATAGTTTGGATCAAAAATGTCCTAGAAAGGTTTGTGTATGCCCAGGCTGGGCTTCTGGAGTGTGATTAGACCAAGGGGGTGCTAAACTCAGGAGTGAATTAATCCACTGGTGATGAGTTCCTAGGTGCAGGTGTTATCAGTAGGCGAGGCCAGGTTGGAGGAAGCGAGTTACTGAGGGGCAACTAGAAAGGTATTTCTTGTCCCTGCCCCCTTTCTCTCTGGCTCTTTCCCTCTCTGAATCCTGGCAGCTGTGAGGTGGGCAGCTTTCTCCACACCACGCCATTCTGCCATGATGTTCCTCCTTGAGGCCAGCTAGTGGCCATGGATTCAGACCTTTGAAAGCATGAGCCCAAATCAACTTTCCCTCCTTAACTTGTTTTTCTCAGGTGTCTTGTTACAGGGACCAAAAGCTGACTGGCACAGACCTTCACCCTTGGCCCGATTGTGCTGTGCCCTCCAGCCTCACCTGCCATCGCTAGCAGCCCACTCTGGCCTTGCTCCTCATCCCTTCTCCCCCTGCTGTGGGTAGGCTTGCTGCATCTGCCCACGGTGCCAGCCACCCTGGCCTCCTCCTCCTTCCTTGCCCATCCCAGGTGCCTGCACAGGACGGTCCCTTCTGCCTGGAACGGTCTCCTCAGGCAGCCCCAAGCGCCTTCTCCCTGCTCCAGCAGAGGGGCCCTGGCCACCCCATCAAACACGGTCATGGCCCCTCTCTGCCTGGAAAACCGGGTTCTTCCCACCTCTGAGGAACAAGTTTCTGTATCAGTCAGCCCTCCAACACAGCAGAAATCTATTTCTTCTCCACACAAAGTCCAGGAGGCCGACCCTGATCTGTGAGTGGCTTGCTTTCAGGGGGTGACTTCCACCTGGTGGCTGTGCCATGCCCAATCTCTTGGCATCCTGTGCTGGCTGCCTGCTCTGGCCAGCATTTGGCAGAGGGGAGAGTTATGAACGGGAAGCCTCCGCGGGCCAGGCCAGGGTAAGTGCGTCCTGTACCAGTAGACTGTACTGGCTCAGCACCACAATTTGGGTGTGATCTGAGTGTCCGAATGTGTTAGTCCCGGGGGTGGTAGTACTGGGAGGCACTGTGGGGCCTAGTGGGGTAATCCTGATCACTACAGGTGTGTCCTGGAAGGGAACTGTGGGGCCCCAGTCTCTCTCTCTCTGTCCTTAGAGTTGTGAGTGCTCACTCCCTCTCCCAGTCCTGCCATGACACGTCACCTGCACAGGGGTGCAAACCCACCAGGCCCTCAGGCTTGGACTGAACCACCAGAGCCATGAGCCGAGCCACACCTCTCTCCACAACATACAGCCAGTGTCTGCTGTTCTGTCAGTGTCACAGAGAGCTCACTGATGCACTGGGATGCAGCTTTGGTGGCAGGGGGACATGCAGCGTATGGCTGTCTCATCTATAATGCCCTGCCTGTCATAGCTCCCCCTCAGCAACCTCCCCTCTGACTTACTATGTATTTTATTAAATTTTTATTTTCTTAGTACCTGTTTGCAGTACATAGTCATTACATTCCTTGTGTGGAGTTGGTACACATTCATAATGCATCTTCATTCCTTTTTAAAAAAATCTCCCACCCCTTTCCCTCCCCTTTCTTTCCCTTGATCCTCTTCATCTTTGAGAAAGATCTATCTCCCTACTTCCTATGATCTATCCCTTATTTTGTTCCTTATTTATACTTTGCGTTTCTCATATAAGAGAAACCATGCCCTATTTAAGCTGTGTGTCTGATGTACTTCACTGGACATCCATTTATCTTTATAGCAGAGTAATATTCCATTGTGTGCACACATCACGTTTTCTTTATCCACCTGTTTGTGTGAATAGAGACCACTTCCTAGGTTCGGTCATTATGAGTTGTGCTGCTGTAAATTTGGGTGTGCATTTACCAACTGCTTACCCCGTGACTCCCATTCAGACGAGCAGGGGCCCACGTTGTCACGTTCACTGCATCGTCCCTGGGCCCTGAGCAGCTTCTGTGACCAGCAGGTGCTGTGGCATTGTCTTTGGGTTGTCAGACACTTGGGTGAAACACCCACAGCTGTCTCCTTGTCCACATTCTCCTATCTAATGTTGCCTTGGTTTTGGGGCCACCTATACCTTTTTATCTACTTCACCTTTAACAAAATGCTTTCTAAGTCGCTAGCCTAATGATGCTTTGTGACAGTCACATTTGTAACCATCCTGTGGATGTGCCGCTGTTTCTCCCAACAATGAATATCCTCCCCATTATTTTATTGATAGTGCTGCCACCCACATATTAACAAATTGCATAGCTGTGCTCTGTGGAATTATTTTCTTAGGCCTGGGTTTAGGATATCAGATGTGGGGTGGGGACCTTTTCATGTACCTGTCTGCCCCATCCAATGGGCTGGACAAATAAATGAACATAAGGTGGATGTCTTTCTCCCTAATGACTGTACAGCAACTCTTACTTGAAACCACGATGTTCCTGATTATGAAATTTAAAATCACCTAGAGAAACTTGGTAAATACAGAAAATGATAAAGAAAAAACAATCTGGGCATGGAGATGCATGCCTATAATTCTGATCCTCTGGGAGGCTGAGGCAGAGGATTGCAAGTTTGAACCCAGCCTGAGCAACTTAGCAACTCAACAAGGACCTGTCTCTAAGGAAAAAAGGGTGTGATGCTAGGGATGTAGCTCAGGGGGAGGGTTCTAGGTTCAAACCCCAGTACTAAAAAAAAAAAAAGGGCTGAAGGAAGGAGGACAGGGACATCTTGGGTCTTCAAAATACTTGGCTCCCAACATCACGGTGCACACTGGGCACCCTTCTGGATCCAAGACACTCAGGCTCCTCTCCTTTGGTAGACGCGGGACACAGAGACCTTGCTGGCTCCAGGGCTGGGCTCTTCACTTTAAGCCCCAGTCCTGGACTTGGCTTCCCTCGGCCCATGGCCCCAGCCTAGAGCACAGAGCTGCGTGTGCACCGTAGGATTCCAGAAAGGAAGGGGAAACACAACTCCCTCCTTCCTTCCTCTCAGTGGCTTTACCGTCTGTGCCAGTGCTGCTCTAGAGGACGTGGCAGAGGACAAGGTGCCTGCTCGGGCCCCACCAGGTTGCAGAGAGACTCGTCAAGGAGATTCTGAAGCTGAGGAGCTGGGCTGCTGCACAACGGCAGGAGGAGTGGCAGTGCTGGAGACGGGATGGGGCTCTCTGATGGAGGGAGGGGAGCTGGAGCCCTCAAGGTCATGCAGGCTCCGACCTGAGCATGACAGGAAGAGCCTATCTAAGACAGCGGGAGCAGCCCTGGGGTGGGATCAGGCATCCCCCAGGAAGCATGGAGGGCCTGGGCTGGAATTGGGTGGCAGAGGTTCCAGAAGCTCTGGACCCAGCAGGGACAGCAGGTAGTGTTTTTTTTTTTTTTTTTTTTT